GGCAAGAAACGCCCACTCTGATGCCGCTGCAGCCTGTCGGTGTGTGGCACGCATCCCCAGACCCGAAACCCTAAGCCCGGTCTCCTCGTCAATTTCCGCCTTCTGGGAACGCTCCAGTCTCTCCTGCGGACAGGATGACCCAACAATGGAGAATCAAATGGAATAGAAAACTGAGAATGGACTGGCTTGTACAGGGTTATATGCGGGGCAATAGAAAAAAGGGCTCCTTTCTGGTTCTACTCTGCCTTGCGACTTCTTCCTGCTGCACCTGTCCTGGGGCATATCTTGCAGGCTCTCCGTGTTGGCGAAGCTGCTGTACTCGCTTTGGTGGTCCTGTTGCGCTGCAACAAACCCACAATCTTGACAAAAACCTGCCACCTCATCACGCGTCAGCACTTTCGATGCCGTACGCTATCTCCCTACACGGGTCCTTAGCTGCCTCGGCCGCTACCTTGCTCGTCCGCCCGTTTGCTTCAGGCATGTCGGAGAAGTTCCCGCGTGGCTTGGAAGATAGTAGGGTGGGCCTGGCATCATCGCCTGCACGGTCTTGGCGTTGAGAGGCTGCTGGGGGCCGGCCACGGAGCGCAGGGGAGGCTGCGCGAAAGTATTCCGCAGGTGCTGTGGTCAACACCTGCCGGATAGCCACCACGCGTGGAGGAGTTTGGGAGCGGACTCCCAAGTGAATGGGCGGCTTGAACGTCGTCGGGCCACGGCGTCGTTCGACTACGGGACTTGCAGCTCGCTGCTGCATTGGTCTTAGAATCCCAACGCCTACAAGAATCACCTGGAGGCTTTGAGCCAGCTGAGCTGTTCCCTGCAGTGGTCTCATCACCAATCAACAAGTCTCACATTTCAATTCTGTAAGGCAACCACTCATGACTGACCTTCCAAGGCTGCATCGGCTCGAGCTAAACGAAGGACTATCCTCTAAACCACCACCAAGGCTGTCATGTCTGGACAATGCATGGAACAAGTCATGCGCGTCAATGGCAGCATCTGGCCCTCAAAATAAGAAGGGCCCCATGAACACACGCAGTGTAATAGAATCCGTCCTCACAGGTTTCACAGGAACCCATAGAGGGGGGCGGCCCATGATCTCAAACAAAAGAATGCGACAAACGCGGCTAAGTGCGAGGCTGAGGAGTCTGAGGTCGTAGCCAGTTTGCAGTTTACGACTGCGGGTCCTGACCAGCTGCGGAGCTGCCAGATAATGTAATGGGTATATATAGGTGTTATATAGGATTTAGGTTATATAGAGATTATAAGGTATATATTGGGGATACACAGGTGTTATATAGGGTTTAGGGTTAATAGAAATTATAAGGTATATATTGGGGTTATATAGGGGATTATATAGGGAGAACGGAATAGAAAATGGAAATTACTACCTTTACTCCTGGGAGATCACACACTTGGAATTCGGCGCCACTGTCGCATCGCGAGGACCACGCAAGCTCGGCCGTAAGAAACCAAAGAGCACTCAACAAAAGGTCCAAGGTTTAACAGTAGAAGCATCTAGGATTGAGTACCCACACGAATGCCAATGTAGAACCTGTACCCATCCGTCCGTCCATTCCTTGAACCCTACACCTAAACCCTAAATCCTAACTCCTATAAGCCCTAAACCCTGAACCGCAACCACGCGGGACTCGAGGGCGAGGCCTCCTCTAGCAGGCGGCGCCATAGCGGCTTTCCGCCATGCTGCAATCTCAGCTACAGCTGCTGTGAGCCAGAAGTATATGAGCTGTAGTCAGTTTAGGGTTTAGGGTTTAGGGATGTGTAAACTCCTAGTACTCTCCTTATGACCCTGGGGTCTACGGCTTAGGGCTGAGGGATGCCAAAGCTCCGACACACAACCACCCCTCAAGAATCCAAAGGCTCATGCCGCACAACAGACAAGCTTCATGGGAATTTGGGACGGACCAGCTATGTTCAAAAGCCATACGCCACGCTACGTGAAACAACGAAGCTTCTGCCACTACAGTAGCCCCTCTGTCTCTTGCTTGTTTTTTTCTTTCATGTCTTTTTTGACAGGCTGGAGGCTCCTAGCAATGCCTTGCCCTTTCGCTTGTTAATTGCGCTGGGCAGATGTCACGATCACGTTTCAGCTGGGAGTGGCACCAAAACTCTGTCCATCAGATAGCTCTCAATTGCCCTACAACACGCTTGCTTCCGTAGCCCCCGGGAGCTGTTGCGAACCATAACCTCTCCTTTTGAGAACCTCTGTTTCTGCCTCAGGCACCTTGATTCAGATTGAAATTCTGGCCGAGGGTCACAAGTCTCAAGTCCAGAGAACCTTCCACTTCGTAGACCCCCAGCAATGTCGAGATGTTTGGATCCCCAAACACTGGCGCAGGAAGTTGGCTTCATGTGCAACCTCAGAAAATCTCAGACTCTCGGCCTGAAGCTGCCTGAAATTGCCCCTTGCTCTGAACATCATGGTCGCACCCGCTCTCAAGTCTTCCATGGATTCCATTCAATGACACGGGGCTTGATCTTTCGATGCGCGACGCCAGGTCTTGACCGCGACCTCACCTGAGCAAAGCACGGCGCGAGCTGGAAACAAACTGATTGTCCAACTTCGTGATCACGGATAAATAATTACACGGGTTGCCAATCAAGCAGGCTTCTGACATCGTGGAGGCTCTCAAGTAGAGGCAATCGCGTGCGCTCCCGCATCACCGTCTGCAACTGCAGTCGTTCTAGTGCAACCCCATGAAACACTGTGCCATCGCGCCCGTGCCCGTGGCCACAACAGGTGGTCCTCTTCAGGAGCAACTCCATCAAATCAAGTGTTTACCCTACTTAAATCCCACCCCCTTTGGTCCTGACGTGGAAGTGGGTCGCAAAGCCGCACATCAGCGCCCCTCGTCTCGACAGACTGAAGAGCACAGAATGCAGCTGCTGCTGCCCTTTTTTGCCAAGGCAGACAAACCAGGCTGTCAACCTGGGATCGCTAGAGCTGACTGTCAGCATGATAAGGTGCTTTGCCGCGTAGCTCAAAGACATGCTTGTTCGCTTTGTCACCGGCGCATGCAGGACACAGGCCATGAGTAGTGGAGCCAGATCGACATTTTCCTCGTGGCCTTGCCACATGAGCGCCTGATCGCTCAAGAACAGGCCGGCTCCTGTACCATTTTTGGCCAGGGATCTCCTTCGGGATTTCTCCGTGGTTATGGGCTCGAAGGAAAGGTCCAAACCTTCCACAGCTCGCCGCAGCAAGTTCTGCTTCGCGGTGTGCTCGTCTGCAGGCAAAGTTTCTTGCCATGGCTGAGGGACAGCATTCTGCAAGCCATCCGGGAAGTGCACAGTGTGCAGCCAGCACTCGGAGAACAAGGAGTCATGGCCGTCACATTTCTGCCACATCTCTGAAGCCTTTTGGCTGCAGTGTGCGCGTGTCGCCAAAAAAATCATGGCACAAAACCTGAAACCTGTACGTCCCTACCTTCTATCACCGACTTCACCACTTCTCAGTGCATGTTTCTGCTCCGGAGCGGACGTTTCAAAGAGCAATGCACCTTTGGCGCCTGCTGGAATTCTTGCAGGGCAGCTTCGAACTAGCCGGGATCAGCTAAGCACAAAGGCGTATGATTGCTGAAACAAATCAGCAAAGATATGAGCTATAATCTAAACTCCTAGTATACCCCTTAATAACCCCTATAGTAGTCCCCTATATAATCCCCTATATATCCCCCCTTTAAGGAGTTTAGACTATAGCAGATATTATAAGATAGTAGTTTCCATTTTCTTTTCCATTATCCCTATATAACTCCAATATAACCCCTATATTATCCCTATATAACCCCAATATAATCCTTATATTATCTCTATGTAACCCATTATAGTAGTTTCCATTTTCTTTTCCATCATCCCTATATAACCCCGATATCTGTAGAGCTGCCCTGTAAGACTAACGCCCGAGCCCGAGCTGCTTCAGAGCCTCCGCAGCTGCTTCGCGGACCTCGCATCACCAAAGCCCATATGGGGGATTATATGGGTGGTTATCAAAATTATGGTCCCTTTTTGGGTACCCTAAATATTAGGTGCCGTAGTATAATAGGGATCCAAAAAGGGACCATAATTTTGACAACCACCCATATAGGGGACTACTAGTTTCCCTAAATTAGGGGTACCTTTTTGGGGGTCCCCATAATAAGGATGAGAGTGTTTTGGGGTCTATCCAGATATGAGCCATAGTCTAAACTCCCTAAAGGGGGGTTATATAGGAGATTATATAGCGGACTACTATAGGGGTTATTAAGGGGGATACTAGGAGTTTAGACTATAGCTCATATACTCACAAAGGCCACAAAGACTGCACTACTGCACTCTTCAAGCTGCCTCTGCCATGACTGAGATAGCTTTTCTGGTCCTCTTCTAGAGTTGGGTAGTCTGCGGGGCTCCTGAGGGCCTTCGGGCTTCTTGGCGGATCATTTTTTGTCAAGGCGTTAGCAACATGCGAGGCTGCAAAAGCCTTTTCGACTGCCAGCGCTGGACCCTGCAATATTCTCAGATTGGCCTGTGCACCTAATTATGCATTCGATTCGAATCTGTGCAGTACAGCATGGGGACATTCACATCCCATTGCCATTGTAGATGCATTCAGATCTTCGTCTTAGTTTCGTCTTTGCCTGCAGGCAGCGACTTGCATTTGAGGCGTCCACTCTTTCTTTCCGATGCCAAGAAATCTCAGCACAACAATGCAAACGGACTGCAAGGCCCACCATTTTGATGCACGCGTGGCTTCTGGTCTTGTCAAGATTGGGTAGACTGCTCACTTTGCTTGGCCTTTCGAACATAAACACCTGGTGCCTGCTCCTCCCAGTCTCCAGGAGGTTTTGATGTTAGGTCCCAACCAAAACCGCCCTTTTCCTTGCTAAGAAACTTTTTGAGGAAGGCGATGCTCGTCAGGTTTGACCGTCCCCCAGACCGGGTCAGGAAAGTCGATCCCGTCAACCGAAGTTTGCGATCATACTCTGCCCTGAGCTTATCGTCTCCAAGTACCTCGTAAGCAGCGGACACCACTTTGAAAGCGTTTTCGGCCTGCACCTTCAGGTCCGGGTCATCGTAATGGAGCACCTTGTCGGGGTGGATGCTCAGAGATACTTGCCGGTAAGCAGCTCGAATGGCAGCCTTGTCGGCATCAGGGCTGACCCCGAGAGTCTCGTAGAGACTCTGTGCTTCGCCCACCTTGTCCAGGACGAAGGGCAGGCGCTCTTCGGTTGCATCTTCCGGCCGCCACGTTGTTGTGCGAGGCTTCTCCTCGGGGCCCGTCAAAGCCGGCAAGGCCTTCGGGGCCTCCTTTGCAGCCGCTTTAGGTTTGGGGCCTTCGCTACGACTGTGAGGATTCCGGTAGTGAAACTCTCCCAGGATGAAATGGCGGACGCAGGAGCAGCTGCAGCGGCGGCACACAACCTCCTCAAGGGTGTCGCCAGTGCGCGGGCGTTCGCCGTATTCGGCTAACACAAAACCGCGGCAACTGCAGTCCATGCATCGCCCGCGCAAGTTTGCAAGCGGGTCAACGCACAAATTGCCCTCTTCCATCTCTTCGATCGCCGCCCCAGTCTCAGCCTCCTCCCAAGGCCCTACCACCTCTGCAAAAACCTCACCGCCATTCTCCAGCGGCGCTGTATAGACACGTGCAGTGATGCGAAAGTTGACTTTGGTATCTGGTGGCAGCTCGTGAACCCGAGCCATGGACATGGTTTCTCTTTGTACAGCCACAATTGGGTCGTCCTTCTCTGACTCTGCCCAATCCACTTGATACTCAACCGTCCTTGCCGGGAACTTTGGCCATTCAAGGACTGCGGACTCGGAAACAGCCTGAATGTCTTTGGGGACAGGCGTTTGCGCTTGCAGCTGCCGACCGAAGCCCAGGCTGCCAGCATCCAACAGCACCCAGCCCGCCTTGGATGTTGTGGGCTTGTCTCCTTGGTTGCATAAGAGCACCCAGGATCCTTGAGGCCACCCTGAGACAATCTGGCCTCTCTTCAGCTGCCCCAAGTTTCGTGAGCTGGTGGAAGGCCTTCGATGTATAGGAAGCTGAGGCTTCAGGACCAGGTAGTCAATAGGCTTTGTGTACAGGGCTTCGATCAAGCCAGGCAGCGGGTCCATGCGTACTGCACCAACCTGGCCCATGTTGTGTTCTTATTATCCGTCAGCTCAAGCAGAATCTGTTTCTGGTTCAGTTTTGTCACAACATTCTCAAATCACTCAAGTCCATATGTGCCTCATTTGCAGCGCAGGAGTTTGTCTTGATAGAGCTGCGGGGGTGCTCTCAATTTGTTGCCACAGGCCACTTGTTGCCTTCTCAGAATTGTCCATGAGGAATCGCTTTGCTGAAATTACTGAGTTTCCACTGCTAGTCGAGCACTCTCCACGCCTAGGGCTTAGAACAAACTTGTAGTTGTACGGGGGGCTGGGGTTGCGGGTCAGAAAACAAGAGGATGGAAAGTCCCAACCTCGTCCTCGCTATCCACCTCCACCGGCTCCTTGGCGGCTTTGGGGTCTCTGGCGTCCTTCTTCCGGTTCTGCGCATTCCGGGGCGCAGCCTGCTTCGCGGCCTCAGCCTTGCGCCGCCGCTCCTCCTCCTTCCAAAATCCAAACATGAGCTGCAATTCTGCCAACGCCCATGCTTAACTACATTAAGGCTTAGCTTGCAAAATCCTTGTCATGCCAGTGCGCCCCCTTCGTGCTATGCTGGTGCCCCATGATGCACCAAGACGAAGCAACAGCAGCAACACAGAAGCTCCTCTTGCTGGATCTGTTCCCGAAGATCTGGTGGGGCCAGCTCTTCAGGCACGAGCAGATCCGTCTGGAAGCCCACGGAAGCCCCATCGATCAGGACCCACGCATCCACGTACTTGGCCTTGGGGTTCGCGCCGCGTGGCAGCGCATTCAAAATCCGCGCTGACTCCTGGCTGAGGTGCAACCAGTTGCCCTCCAGGCAGCCCGAAACTTCTGTGCCACGACGCAAGGCCCCAAGCGGATCTCCCGAGGTGCTACGCCGACTGCGTACGAAAACACGCGGGTGGGTTACTAGGTACTTGCGGAGGGGCCTACTCTCCAACAGCCTGGCGGCTGCTGGCGTTCCAGCCCTGGCATGCGAGTCGAAGGGGTCGCCGCATCTCATGCACTTGATGCTTTCCGGATCGGCATTGAGGCCAAGCCGCTGTGCAGCATCGGGGTCCTCTTCCTCCTGCTCCTCACAGGAATTCGGAATAGTCTGAACCCAGGCGTGGCAGCAGAGTTTTTCGAGCTTATGGAAAACACAAGCCGCCACTGCATGAAGCGAGCGTGACTTGCAAGCGCAAGACTGGAACACAAAAAACACTAGACAACCATAACCAAAAACAACCATGGCTTACAGAACAAGCCTGGTGACATCCATGGGTCTCAGCCCAGAAAAATGCGTATACTTTGACAAGGCATGGATTGGACTGCCAATGTATGTGAACCCCCCATTGCCCCCAAAACCTCGGTTCTTGCCCTGTTTTCTGGGCCTTGTTCCGAGCCTGGATTAAGCTGTGCACTGATAAACACCATGTGCTGGGATTCCAGATAGGCTTTCCATGTATGAGCACAACTCCCTGACTGGATCGGTATCATCATCAGGAGAATCTGAAATAAGAGTGATGCACATGTAAGTGCTGCAGTCCTCCAAGCCAGGACGCCATAGGAAGCCATAGCACTGACAGTTCAGGCAGCCTCCACGAGCTGTGCCAAAGGGATCCATGCAGGATTCTGCCTCTTCCACCTCGTCCCCCTGCTTGAGTTGTAAGGTATGTGACTCAATCCAAAGGCCAGCAAACCTTACTTCAGGTGCTGCGTCTACAGCTGGTGATGCTGGCCCTCGTATCCGCACTGCAACATGCAGCTCGAAGGCCTTTCCTGGAGGCATGTTGGACACCACCTCATGCGGCTTATGGCAGACAGCGTGCCCCGCAGCTCCAGATTTCTTGCACCGCCACTCAACGATGTAGACCACCTTCACGTCCGGCTTCAGGAGTCCCTTGAAGCCCGGCCATGCCACCTCTACGCCCTCAAGGTAACGTGTCCGTATATGAGGATGCAAACATTGTACAGCCAGGCTGCGCCCGATGTGTACCCAACCACGCACACTTCCGCTAGGCTTCAACCTCAACCAACCAGAGCCTGGATATCCGTGGACAACTTGCCCAGGTGCCAAGCTGCCAAGGCTTGGGGACCTGGAATCCGGGCATTCGTGAACCTCCACCGCCTCGCGCACTTCGTACTCCAAGAACTTGGTCAGGCCACTCAGAATCTCTGCACCCTTCTCAGCCGCCGCCCTGACGGCTTCATGGTCTATCTGTGGCTTCTCTGGAGTGGGTTCAGCTTCAGCCGTTTTGGGCTCAGGCTCAGCCGTTTTGGGCTCGGGCTCAGCCGGTTTTGGCTCAGGCTCAGCCTTCGCAGCCTCGGCAGGCTGGGCAGATTCAGCTGGTCCAGTGGATGCAGCTGGCTCAGGTTCAGGGAGTTCAGGGGCCACCTCCTCAGGCTCCGCGGGAACCGCCTCCACCTTCTGAGCGGCCTCTTCTTCAACATCATCTGAGCTGCCTTGGGTGGCTTCTGCGGCCGAAGGAGGATCCTTCGTTGTCTCCAGCTTGGGTGACTCTGAGTCCACGGGCTTCTGCTGAGGCGGGGTGTCGGGAACTGTTGGCTGGTCTGACTCTTGGCGGTGGGGCTCTTCCCGAACATGAACCTCATCCATGGTATCCACGCGTGCGGTTGGGGATGTGGACTCTGGAGTGCATGTCGTCGCAGTGTTTGCAGGCTCAGCGCTTTCAAAAGGTGGATCAGTTGGATGCCCGAGGAGGGGTGGCCAGTCATGTCCATGAGGCTCCTCGCCATTCAGGCTGTACTGGCTGTAAATGGAACACTGAAAACAGCCAAACTGCAAGTTTCCTCATGCGATTTCTAGCTACAACCCTTGTCGAATGACAGCAGCCAGCAGGTGCCTGAGAAAAATGCTTGAAACTGCGTGTCACCAATTGAACACATGCGGCGCCGCCTTGGTTTGCTGTCATGAATTCAGGTGAAAGTGAATGGCTCCTTGGCCTGCGCAGACTTCAGGAACTCCTCGATTTCCTGCTCCTCCGCTTTCCTCAGCGTTTCTCGCCATTCCTCCACAAACTTCTGCAAGGCCTCCGCCTCTTCTGCGAGGTCTGCCATGATGCTAAGACAGCTTAAGGATGCCTCTAACTGTGCAGCTCGCTTGCTGTGGGGGACCTTTGATTTGGGAGGTCTATGCCGGACCCGAGTTGCTGGCCTTGACGTATACTCATCAATCCGTGGGCCGGTGCTAAACTAACTACTTTCCTGGAGAGCCAGCAAACCGCAAAGGTGCAGTACAAGACCATGCGCTATCCCTCTAAAACCAGATGCGGGGCAGTTGGCGCAAGTGGGACACCACGTTTTCTGCCGGATTGCTACGGTGGTCTTGCGGCGGCAGCCCTGGTAGCCGCGCCGGAAAATCTCGTGCGGCCTCATGACGAGACAAGCGGAGATACTAGAGTTACTAGGGAGAGTTCTTGATCTATCTCTGGAGCAACCAGGCCCAATGGCCCCAATGACTGTGAATGTACGTACAAGAAGCCCATCCTGTGAGGTGACCCTCGCACCTGCGGCCTTCAACCCCTCCCACAGCAGAATTGCATAGCTAATGTGGCTGTACGTGATGACCGCATGTGCAGCAGCTCTGGCCCTGTGTAGGTTTTGCCACGAGCGGCCCCCAGTGTCTGGGGCCTACTGTACAAGGACACCATTAGCAGCGTTGTAGATAGCAAGTGTATCAGCAGCTATTAGCATTGGCAGCTCCACTGAAAACACATTAGGCCTGTTCTTGCACGATGCCGACAGTCACGGCCAGGAAATCGGCTCATGAGGGGAGCGGATGACACCTTGGCCCCCGCTACGCTGAAGTACACATCCCTCCCGCCACCAAAGGCACGTTTAGTGGAGCTCCCACATGAACTAGAGTGCGTTCATCGCATTTGAGGGCATCGGCGCTAAGTCTTTTCTGAAGATGCTCTGGATGCTCTCCGGTGCAGGCGAGCTGCAGTGAGGCTTGGGAGCATGCTGCTTCCAGAAGTCCTATCTGCTGCGCTTCAGTGCCAAGCACATGTAGAAGCAGCTCCGTCAGGGTCTGACTGCGGTGTTCCCTGTATATACTGCTCGCCGACGCTACTACGGCAAAGCCATTCTCACGTTGGATGATTGCACGCATCTGGGGTTAGGGTCGTAGGGTTTAGGCGGGCCTGAAATCTAATCCCTTTCGGTCTCACTTTCCCGCCCACGCTTACGTTGCCAAGCGACCTTCAACCACTCAGCCCTTCTACAGAACAGAAACCAGCAAGGCTGCATTTATCCTCGGATAGTTTGGGCGCGTGCAGCTTGAGTAGTTCTGGTGACGGCGCCCACTCCTCGAACGGTGGCAGGGAGACCTCAGCACAATGACGATTATCAGTCCGGGTTCCTGTGACATGATCAGAGCAGATTAAGGGTGCTAGGCCGCGACACTCCCACAGGGTAGGCTTCTCAGCAACATGTGCTCAATTCTTGCATGCAGTGGGCGAATTGATTTTGAACCAATGAGGTAATCTTCGACGGGCCACAGCCTGCTGGGCCCCACAATTCCATCCCAAGCCTCTGCCCAGAAAACCACTCTCAAACTGCCCCTTGCAAGTAACCCTGAACCCCGACTTGCCCATTCCAGCCTGCAAAGGCTGTGCGCTGCAGTATGGCCTGTGCTCGTGAATACAGTTCAAACAGCTAGGGGATGATGCCTCAAGAATGCGATGAATTTTGTTGAGGGCGATTCTTCAGTCACAGTCGGTCTTGTTTGCCAACCACGACTGTGGTCTTTAACAGCGGGGGTCATCAGAGTGTTGAGCTGATCCTCGCCTTGCGCCAGGCTTCGCCAAGTACTGCTGATGATAGTCCTCTACATGAGGAGCAAGTCATTTCAGCAAATGGTAGTTTCCCAAAATAGGGGGACCCCAATATAGACCCCAAAATACTATAATCCTTATTATGGGGACCCCCAAAAAGGTACACCTAATCTTGGGAAACCCCCAAATCCATTTGGGAGGTCCCCAAGTCATCCTCGGCATAGAAGAAGGGCTGCTCAAAGCTTGATGCTGCCACGATTTCAGTGGTGATGTTGGAACTCAAGCCTTCAGGGCAAGATTTTATTATGCAGAGTGCCCTCTTGCTTCCTCCGAAGATGGGCATGTGCCAGCAGTCAGAACGTCCTTGATAACTCTTACTAAATACTTGTACGTCCATACTACAGGAACCCGTAGGGGACATACATTGGGTTAGGCCCCCACCCACGCTGTTAAAGTGGTAGAAATGGAAAACACAGGGACCTTATCAATATTAATGTTGTTGTTGTCTTATTACCACAATCCCTTGTGGTCACTATCAGTGGGCGGTGTTCCAAACCTAAGACATACGGCCCTACATGAGCCATTATATAGTCTACCTCTTCAGAAGCCCTGCAATAGTCCCCAATATAATCCCCTATATAACCCCCTTGAAGGAGTTTAGACTATATATATATATGCATATATATATATAGCTCACATGTCCATGAACAGGTGGCCTCGCTTCGCTGTTCTTAGAGCCTTCTCATAAGCTTCTTTGCCTCGGATTCTTGAAATGCGGGGGCCATGGGGTGCATCGTGGCTTATTACTCTTCTTGTTGTTACATGATATTACCGGGCTGCATGACAAATCGTCTTGCGATTAATATTGTAAGACCTTTAGGAGGCTGCAACAACGCATAACATAATTACAGAGTTTGTATTTGGCGGCAGGTGGCTTGCGCGTATCAACTGCTCCTGGTCGCTGTCAAAATAAATCAGCGCGCTTCCTCAGAGAGCTCTGCGACTACTCACAAGGCCAGAAGCCGTTGAGATAAGGATGCGACTGTACTGGGTGCCACGGTCATTCCCTTGCCGATTGCCCTGGGTTGGATCGTGGGATTCCCAGAACCAGCGCAAAATGTCCACCAGGCTGATCTTTTCCGGGTCGTAAACCTCACAAATCTCATGATGTACGTGGTGAGTTTCTCCCTTGACATGTCCACCACTCAATTCTGCAAGCTGCCCAAATGACAACCCTTCATGACGTGCTAAACAACGTAGACTACCGGCTACCTGGCATGCAGGCAGTCAAATGTGGTGTACATTTACATGTCCTGCACATGACAACATCTGCGGAAGTTTCTCACTATGAGCGGGGACAATCCTGTTGAAACCAGGAGACAACCTGGACCGCCTCCGTGTGCCCTGTCTGTCCACTGCAGCACTCCTGCTCCAAAAGCAACAAGCAGAAGCCTAGATTTTGAAGTTAATCTACCCAAACCTTATCCCAATATAACCCTAATATAACCCTAATGTAACCCTAATATAACCCTAATATAATCCTCATACTACCCTAATATTACCCCAATATTAGCGTCCTCATAGGTAGGGTTGGGGGTCTTGCCCGCAGCGTAGCCTACTGCAGTGGCATGGATGCCTCCACCTGCAGCGATGAACTGGCATAGGGTTTAGGGTTTAGGGTTTAGGCTAGGGTTTAGGGTTAAAGTTTAGGGTTCAGCTGATCGTCGGAAAACTCAACTTGTGTGCCTGGCAAGCGCCAGAAGCCCTTCTCTGAGCCCCAGAAGCATCCGTTTGCGAGGACACACACCTCACCAATTTCTGCACGGACTTTGCCCAACAAAATCTGACTTTGTGCTAGCCAGGACGTACGCGGACATGCTTTCCAGTGGAGCTCAGTAGGGAAAGCGACAAGTCGCCTTCATATTTGCTGGCCACGGCCCTTCCATTGGCGTTTTCCTCGGGGCGCAAGTATCAGGAACTGGACAGGGACAACGCACCCCTGCTGACAAGGCTCAGAACAAAGTGCTTGGGGCTCACCGACATCTTTTCACTCCGTCCTTTCCTTAGCAAAAAGCTAGAATGATCCCGGCCAATATACAAGCTGCATGCGTTGCAGGAGCTCTTCTTATAATGCGAACACAGACAACGACTTGGGTGACATTTCAACATCAACTGAGTGGCATCTTTGAGGACCCTGTCGAAGTGGCGCCGCCCATGCAAGCAACGACCCGTAGATCTTGCAACTAAGTGGGGCTTTGAGCAACACAAGCACCATCCGGAAGAATCGAACTCGGGGCATGCAATTTTGCAACATGAATACCTACTGACACAGGAGCAGGTCTCACACAGCAACACCTGACCTGAAAAAACTGGCTGCCTCCAGAATCAGAAGCAAAACAAAGTGGAAGCTTGAGGCCATGGCTCAGGACGATTGACAGTATCCCGTTTAAATTTACGAGCGTACTGTGGACGAAAGCTCGTCTAAGTTTGACCACTTTCCCTTTGCGCTTGCATGCTTGGGCTAAGCATCCCTATGCCTGGACATCGGGGCTGCAGCGCAAGCAGGCCAACAGTGCTCTGTGTTTGTGGTGGACTAGCTGGGACGCTGGGGGCAAAGCATCATCGTCGCGGTCAGTAGACTCCATCACTAGCAAGTGGTCCTGGCAAGTGCAGTGAAGCCCACAGCTCAGCATGACGCACCTTCCTCTGGCCTTGCGCGTGTGCACAGCCTGCGGTCCCAGGTTGGCAAGGGCTTGCGTCGCCACAAGTCGGTACCTGCAGGGGCAGATGCATCCTTCAGTCTTGAGGTGCCTGACGTGCCCACACCCGGCATTCCGGTGGAAGAGCCCATCATCCAAGTTGTGGATGTGCGGCATCACCTCTCCAGACGCGAGATGCCTCAAACATCTACACAAAGATCTCGTAAGGAGGCTGGGCTGTGCGGCGGCTTGTGGCTCCAGCTGCCCAAGTGCCCACCTTACCAGCTCACAGCTCGGCCTGGTGGCCTGGTGTTCTCTGAGGTAGGTACATGCATGCTTTCCGGACATCCAGCCGTTCACCTGAGTGCTTCAAACTGCTCAAAAGTCATGCAGCCTCAGAGTGAATCTGAGCAAACAGCTCAGGTCAGCGTCTGGGTCGTCACCTACCAAGATCAGAAATGCCACTTTCAACTCCTAGTTCCACAGAGTGCCGACAAGAAGCTGTGAACTCCAGGGCGGTTTCCCAGCATCCGTGTGCACAAGGCATTGGCGTGCTTCGAAGCAACCTTCAACTCCCAGACTGTTTTGCAAAATGCCCTCCTGGGCCTGTCTTCCCACTGTGAACGTTACACTTAGCAGCACCGTTGATAGCCAATGCAATGCTTTGCACCAAACCGAGCTGCATAAATTCAAGCTAGTCAATCTAAGCTGTCCAGTCTAAAGAAAGCTTTCAATGTTAAGCTGTTGAAAGCGTCAGCTGCGGCCTTCCCCTGCTTGCCGAGGGCCAAGGCTGCATTCTTTCGCACTTCTTGATCCAAGTTGTGCAGCGCCTCTGAAGCTCAAAGCTGGCAAATAGGTTCACAAAATGGTTTTCGAGTCGTGAGCTGCCTACTTCAGGTTCTGCAGGCTTGCGTGAGAAGACTCGCGACTCGCATATCGCCTGCCTTGGCCAGGACTGCCTGGCTCTTGTCTGCGCCAAGTGGGCCAAGCCTTTCACAACTCTTGCAGCTTGCAAACTCCAAACTAACTCTCCCAATCGCCAGGCGATTGGCTCGTGGAGCAGCTCTGTTGCCAAAGTCCGGACATACCAGGAGTCATCACTCCTTGGCAACGGGAAGGATCCAAAGCCCACACAAGGAGAGTTGATCTTCGTCGCGCTCAAACTAGAGCTGTGTTTTCAAGCATCACGCAGGTCACTGCAGTTTGCACTCGCAAGTCGTCGCACATCGCCTGCGGCCCTCGTGTGCATCGCTTATCAATTCGACGCCAGCTTCACCAAGTTGACACTGAGCTGAGATTGTGCTATAAGAGCACCGTAGATGCACATCCCATCATCTCATAGCATCTCAACTCAACCTTCGTGGCCAAGTGCGCAATGACGTCGTTGGCATCTTACCGACCAGCCGTGCAATTTCCTCTGCGTCGCGTGATGGGCGCTGAGCCTGCTGGGTGTACTACACATACCAAGCTTCGTGGTAGCAGCCCAGGAGACCTGCACACAAGTTAGCTTCAACTTATACAAGCAACCACTTGGTGCTGCTTGGCCACCTAGATCATTCGTACCGGAGGTGTGGTTCAGCTCAACCTGAGCAGTGAAACTTTCCTTCTTTTGCTTGAACGAGCCTTCTTCTGCAAAGCACCTCAAATCTGAAGTCCCTGGAATGCGCCACCCGACCCAGGCGACACCTGTTTGGAAAGTTGTCAGGCTCAGCCGAGTGTAGGCTTTTCGTGTATGATCCTGCATGGGCACTTGGAAAATCTTGGTCGAGACGCCTCTGCATGAAGAAGACGTTAGGTAGGTGCTACTGCTCGTGTCAAGCGGATGGGTAGTTTGCAACATTCGAGAATGGCATTCTTGGAACCCAATCATGACATTGAAATGGACCCGCACACGTAAGCAGGACCTGCCGCGCAACTCGTCGCCTTTCAGCGCGGCGAGTCCCAATTGGGCTGGCGGGCCGAAGAGGTCCACAGACTGGAGCATGGGCAGCGGCAAAGCGCGCTATTTACTGCTACAAGTGTCTGCTGGCAGTACATCGGAACATATCAGTAAATCTGGTATTGATGCCGTTCGACGCGCTTCCCATACCCCTTTCACGTCGGTCCTCTGGGAAGAAGCCGAAGAGCTGCTGCCCCCAGTGAGTTGCCTGCAGGGTCAGCTCCACTACACCCCGGTACCTAATCCACAGAGGATGGAATGCCTTCGAAGGATAACCACCAAAGCAACTAGGAGCAGCGGAATTTCGCAGGGGACTACAGGACCCACTAGACGTTCTTTCCCGCAGCGCAAGCGGTGTTGCTTTGACACCCTGCTTGAATGATTGATGACTGCACGTACAGTCGTCAGTGTCGTCGGTTTCGGGAATCACTTCACGACCAAACAATGGGTATGACTGCGAGCGCCCTGCGCCATTTGCGTGCCTTGAACCAAACAGCCTGGCGACCTTCCCAAGCGCCAGCTTTTTTTATCTTGGGCGAATCATGCCCCTACTGCCACCTGGTTGCATTGCGCAAGGGGCTCGTGCTCAATTCAACGTGTGGCTCTTCTGCAGGATTCTGTGCGGATCCGCGGAATGCAATGTCGAAGAACCCACAAAGTCCACCAACCTCAAGGCTCAGTGATTCAGGACTCTGCCAGCCCATTAGCTTCCAAATCAGCAACATGAGGGATCTTCACCAAATGCTGCAAGAACACAGTCCCATCCTGGGTGATGGGCAGATTGATCTCCTTAGCTGCCCCTTCATAGCTACTCCTCCAAGCTTGCACAAAGCACATGAGCCCGGCGTGTCAGGCAAGCATCAAAGACCTCCTCATGCAACTTCTGGAGCCTCAGCCAGGGTGGGACAATCTCAACTTCATGTTGCAAAGGGTGCGGTCACCTGAACGAAGCTAGGTATGGAAACTCTCCGCTCAATGTGGCCATATACGCAGAGCGGCATCATGTATCTCTCTTTTGACTGGATTGCTTGTTCTTGCCTGTGATTCTATGACTGTCTTCATGTCGTTTATCGCATTCTATTGCGTTCTACATGTATTTGACCTGTATTAATCCCGGGCTTGCGAGGCCTTGTCAGCGGCATCGTTGTAAGGTCCAGAGTCAGCAGCTGAATTGGAGGTCCACGCAGCTGTGTAGTGTTTAGGTGCGCCCAATCCCATGTTTGCAGGTGGTGACGGCTCGCCTTACATGGTCGCTTCTGACAGCTGGGAGGACAAGCTGGATCCCACCTGCTCCTCGTGCTGCTTTGCCAGGCTGCCATAATTCAAGCCTGTCTTGAAACCAAAGGTCTCAGTCACAACCCATCAAGCCTTTTGACAACTTGGCAAGGGGCCGAAGCTAACTTGCATGTACTCCACGAAGCTATGCCATGCCTTAGCTTGCCAATGCAACATGGTACGAGTACACTTACACATTGGGGCAATATGTGTCAATGGTGGGATGAGGGGAATGTATCATGAGTATGTCAGTAGAAGCTCTAGACTCTCCAACTCCATGCCGGGACACCCAGAGCTCATCCACATAGTCTTGCCACCGCTCCGCAAAAGAGCTGTGGGCGCATGGGGCCAGGAAAAGCCGAGCATGCGAGGGGAAGAGCGAGCCTCCTGTCAGGACCACTTTTCCTTCCAATTTCCAGCCCCACAAGGCGGTCTTGCCTGGCTTCAGGAAACGATCCCTGGCCATCAGCACCGTGTCCAACATGGACTCCTTGAAGAGGAAGTTGCCCATCCACTCTGAGATGATCATGTCAACCTGAAGTCTCGCGTGCTGGCTCCACATGCATACCAACTCCTCTGTCCCCCTGTACCTGGCCATCCGCAGTTGTGCATGCCCCGTGCCAGAAGCACCAAGAAGCCTTCTCCGGCAGTTCCACAGATTCGGCCATGCCTCGGATGACTTCCACGACCTCGGCGAGTCCGTTGGCCGAGACCACCTGGGAGGAGCGAAGCCCTTTCTGTTGGAGGACTCTCAGTCCCAACAGCTGCAGGCTCTTCTGGGTCTGGGGTCAGGAGGACTACCTACTTCGTGATACCACCCCTTGTTCTAGGGCTTTTTTCTGGCCGACCTCCTTCGCGCAGCTCGCCATGTCAGAGGCCTTGCAACGGATCAGGCAACTGTGGAGTTAGCTTCTGGTGTGCAGCAAACCCGTGCCAAGCCGCCCCTCAAGCCTTCAAATCCATGTCTCTGGACAGGCCTCCACAGCATAGACCTTCCTCGCTCCAGCCTGCCACACTGAGCTCTTCATTTGAGGTTGGGTCGGTCAATGCAAATTGTGAGCCCTGGCTCTCGAACAGCCTTGCCCTGCCCTTTCTACTTAGGAGTCCTTAGGACTATGTATTCTCACAGCGCGGCCTTTGCAGCAAAGATGGCCAGCACGCCTGTGCCACAGCCGATGTCCAGCACCACCTGCCCAAGATTAGGAATCCTAGTACTAAGAGTAACAACAGTAATCATATGGATAATAGTACTTAACATAAAATAGTAATCTTTGTTGTAATAGTAGTAATAATCGCAATGGTAGTGCAGTAATAGTCGCGATAACAGTGATAGTAGTAATGGTAATAAAAGTACGAGCAGTTCCCCTAACTCCCGGCAATTAAAGTGCTGCTGTGAAGAACTATGGATACTGTCATGTGGCATGTTGGCATCTTGGGCCAAAGCCACTCAAATGGGTTCTGAAGGGGAATCCTGTCATCCTCCTCCACCTCCTCATCATAATCATCATCATCTATATATATATATGCAATATTTATGTTTTCAACGCGAAAAACACTTATGACTACTCGTCTACGATGGCGCGCAAGTTGGTTCTGTTGGTTCCGGGTGTCACCTTGTCTCGAAAATCTTTGGCATTCATCTGGATGGCGTCGCGGTAGGCCTGCATCCGCACAGTGTCCTTGAGCATAGTCATCCTCGGCATAGACGACACAGATCCGAGACATCCTGCAAGATGCTGTATTGCCATGTTTGTGACATACGGCGTAGGCGGCCGTGCGATCAAGCGGCTGCTCGTGCAGGCAGCCATACTGGTTGAAGTAAGTCTCCTACACTTGACCGTGGGTGCTGGCAGTCTTTTCTTGCTGGTTTGCAGCGGGCCAGGCCTGCCTTTTCCTCTTCACTCGGGGCACAGCCATCCAATGCAGAGAGGCGCTGTGGGCGCGGCAGCTGGCTCACCTCACACCAAGCACGAGCCGCACAAATGACAGAGAGTTGCGAGCGGCTCGCACCTCCGATACCGGGGGTCCCCGACTCCGTGCGGTTGAGCCGTCTGCAACACTGACCAGAGCAGAGGCCGCAGAGGCCTGGGCAAAGCATCGGGCATAACTGGGCCTGTCAGAACTGTGGCTGTCCTGCCTCGCTGGCTCGGCAGGTGTGGGGGCCGCCATGGCTGAGGGGCGGAACCAAGGCAAAGCCTGGGCCCGGGCAGCGCAGCTTGCAGCTCAGTAGCTTGCAACACCGCAGGTCTTCCTGCCAAGGCCTCCCAAGCCAAGCGCCAACCCAAGCGCCGCCGAGCGCCAGCGGCGGCCCATGAACCAGGGCCGTGTAACATCGGGTCTGTCAGCTAGAGACTGTGAGCTTCAAGTACGAGAGCATCGGCTGCGGCAGACGCAAAGTGCACGGAATGCTGGCATCCACGGCAGCTTCTGAGTTCAATTGAGTGCCCGTCAGTCGCAGGGCAAGCTCGCGAGCGTACATAGTTACCTAAGACGCGGATGACAAAGGGCCATCGCTGTTCCCTCGAGTCTGCGGCTGAGCCTCTGGCTGCCTCTGTACCCAAGGCCCGCAGCGCTCTCAAGGCACCCCAGCCTCAGCACTTTCCCCGATTCCCCGGCAACTGCCACCAATATCCACCGATCATCTCACAGCCCCCTCCCCGACAAATCTGCCGTTGTTCTTTGGCCCTGGCGCGAGGCGACATCTTCTGACTGAAGAGCAGTCGCTAGTTGGGCTGCATACTCATCTGCCCCCTGAGCTCAGTTCTACACTAAAAAGAGAACTATATGTGCCACTGGCACAGTGTTGCAGTAAGTCAGAGGGACGAAGGAGATTGCCTCTTGATGCAAGCGCCTTTTTTCCAGGCCAGCAGACCTGTTCAAAGCTCGCGCTAAGAGTCCAGCTGGACAGCGCCACAGCGTGGTAAGCCGTTCGCTTCCAACAAGTGCAGAAGCGCAGGCTTCGAAGTTGCTTGAACGATGGTGTCCAGCTCCGAGCGCTTCCACCAGTCGTCTGCCCAATTCGGGTGTCTAGCCAGAGCCACCCATGGCCAGGCCTCCTTGAAGCAAGTGAGGAGGGACTGGGGCGCTTCCAGCAAGGCTGTCGGTTGGGACCAGAGACGTCCTGGGACACTGCTAAGACGCCTCCTACTTTCGCGATGCTTCGCAATCCATGGCATGTTGTGCTGTGGATGTTCAACTTTCCCTGCATTCCAAGGCGCGCGGCTGGAACGACTCCGTGAAGGCATCCCAGCATTGAAGCGCAGCACGTCCAGCCTGCCGCATCGGAGCCAGCATGGTGCTCCAATCCACACCATCGGAGGTGAAGCGATACCTGCAGCGAGTCTTGCATTCGGGTGCATCTGCCCCAGATGTCGCCCCCCGCCACAACAAACAAACTAAGTAATACTGGACCAATGGCATAGCCGGTTTTACAACCTGCTGTTCAAGACGAAGAGGCAGAAAGCGGAGCACGCGGATCAGCTCGGGCGGCTTGTCAGGGAAAGGATTCGCCTTGACCAAGTTCAGAACGGCAGTCTCGTTGCAGAGAAGCTTGCCTGAGCCCAAGCAAGGCCCCTTGCCATGCCTTGCCTGCCAGGCTAAGAATTTCCCCTCGTGCGCCTACTGCTGCAGAGGTACCAAGGAATACGAAGAACCAGGGATGGTGATTCACATCACCCAGGGGCACAAACCACAGGGACCAGTCCAGTGGCAAGTCCAAAGGCGCGATTATGCAGGGACGCGCCGAGACCTCGCCCGCCTGGGACAGGGACAAGCTGTTGATGCCATAGCTTTGGTGACATATACTAGTAACTAGTGGCATTCAGCCGTAGGATTTCTGCATCACATCGCCGCCCCGCCTTGCAAAAGAAGCCGTATTCCTGCCACTCATGCTCCTGTCAGGGCTATTTCTATGCAGGTATCCACTCAGGTTTGGCTGGAAATTGATTGACTCTCTGTAAGCTTGGCGGAAATGCGCGAGAGCCTTCACAGCAGTCAAGGAGGTTAATTAAATTATTTACTTCGAGCATCCCCACCCTAAAGCCGCTATTGCACAAGAAGTGTAAATAACGTTTCCCTGCCCCCTGTCAACT